GATTTGCCTCTTCCCAGCAAATTGCTGTATTTGTCCATACTTTGCCCTGCTTCCTGCGCTTCTCTTGTCTCATGTTTACACGATTGAAGCATCACAATGTTGGGGCACTCGTGTTGTCCAGTCGTACCGGCTGGTGATGCTACATCACCCAGGCTGGCCTCACTGTCAGGATTACTAGTTGATCCATCATGTAGAACTGTATCACACCTAGGACTAAAAGGTAACGTCTTACTGGACCTTAGAATGGCCGGACTTAACTTACCAGAAAATAGTCAGAATACTTGCCGAGGTCGGGTACACAGAATGAGACACAACGATGACGGAAAGCCAAAACTCAAGGATACCAGAATACAGGGAAGTCAAAACGAAGCCAAAGTCAAATACCAGAAATAAATGCTTAGGAACACAGTCTCGGAGAACTACTAAGGGAAACCACGGCAGGGCAAAGAGGAGAAGTAGAAATGCGTTTAAATAAGCCTTTTATAAATCTGGCTGAAATCGGCTTTTGACCCCAGAACGTGTGCGCGTCTCCCACGTGACGTCACATGCACGCCGTCATTATCACCATGGGTGGACGTGGGGCTTTAATTTGGTGTGGAACCACAGTGGCCAGCGGCCACCAGCATGTAGCAGGAGTCAGATGCACTGACGCATGGCCGTTGAGCACAGATACCGGAAGGTGAGGATGAATATGTTAAACTCACATCTTCAATCCCAACATAATCAGTAGGGCCAGGAGCAGCCAAGAGGCAGGACCCTAATCGATCTTCTCCTTCGGAGGCTGCCTCTCTACATGCTACTTCTTCGAGGAGCTGTTCCACCTTCGGCTGTGATTGTAACCATTTGTTGTATAGCTCCCACAGGCACTACTCAGAGAGTTGCTGGCAAGGCAAGTTAAAGTGCTAAATATAGCCTTATATATATATATATTTAAAAATGTTGCTGATTTTGCGCCTTACTTTGCTCCTAGACAATAGATTAAGTTCTTCTCAGCATTCTAATGCATGAGCTAACTACCACCAGCCAATCTAAATGCAAAAATATTACTTACCAACTTCCAAATTGAAACCACCCAGAACCAGCTCAATGTAATCCCTCCTCTACCTTAAACAGCAGAGCTGCTTACAACCCATAGCAGTACATAACTATTTCCTTCTGTCCATGCGCAGGCATTTAGGGGAGATCTTGCTTACAGCTCACGCAATTAACAGGCAACGCTCAATACTACAGCCCCACTACTGTGTTCATGGGTGCTGCTCTTATGTAAAATTAACATATTTTACAAGTGAAAATTGTTTGCAATAAAATATTTAATTTGCAAAGTGTTTCTTATAATGTATACATGATGTTGAGATATTAAGGCATAGCTTAAAAACTTGTGTTTAACTTTTATTATTATTGAAGGTGTTATGTGTGTAGATCAGTTGCTCAGTATATCTAGTGATTAACCTAGTGGGTAAATTCTGCACTAATTACCCCTTAATTCACAGCCTCTACTTATCAAAATCCTAAGTGTTTTCATATTAAAATAAGCAAGTAAATCTTCTCTGCATAATATTTCCTCAATGCAGTGATAGATTCAGGCTTCCGGTTGCAGTAAGGTCAGCTGATTCAATACGCTCAGATAGATGTCATAGTCACACATAAAAGATGAACCACTCTCACACACATACCTAACAAGCTGTGCTCAGTCTCATACATACAAAATTAGTCACTAACGTTATTACCTATGCATACACACATAAACACATAAACACAGGCAAGCAAACAGACAAACACAGATACCTGCATACATAAATAGCCGAACACTGACATTAACATACGATCATATATAATTAGCCCCTCACAAAACCATATCATATATACTCACTAGAAGTGGTTCTAGATTTGGTCCCGGTATACCACTCTGCACCTGCTGCCTCAACTCTCAGTCCACCCTGCAGTCCTCCTCTAAGCATTAGGAGGAATAGATTGGACATTAATTCCTCACACTGCAGCCATGCATGTGGAGAGACTTTATTTTGTAAGGGGTCCATGCCATCACTGATCTCGCTATGTGGTCCGGAGCCCAACAGGGCATCTTGCAGACCTCAAAGCATGGCCGGTCAACTGATTATGGGCTGTACTCTCCTGATAGTGGCCCTGCTGTTCTTGAAGCTTTTACTTACATGTAGCATCTCCCTCTCTCTCCCTCAGCTGTATCTCCCCCCTCTCCACCTCACTCTCTCTTACCCCATCTCCTTCTCATCTTCCTAAGATATATCTCCTTCTTTTCCCAGCTTAATCTCCCTCTTTCCCCAAGCTCCATCTTCCTCTCTCCCCAGAACCATCTCACTCTCTCCCCCAGATCCATCTCCCTTCCTCCTCCAGATCCATCTCCCTTTCTACCAAAATCCAGCTCCCATTCTCCCCCAGATCCATCTCCCTTTCTTCCCAATCCCACCCCCCCCTTTCTCCAACTCCCTCTTTCCACCCAGCACTATCTCCCTTTCTCAACTAGCTCCATCACTGTCTCTCCCTCCATCCTCCTCTCACCCCTCAGCTCTGTCTCACCCTTCAGTTCCATCTCCATCTCCCTCTCTTCCACCAAGCTCCATCAATGTCACTTCTATCCTAAATCCATCTCCTTCTTTCCCCCAGCTTGTTCCCACCCCGGGTTCATTTCCCTCTCTCCTAAAATCACAATTTCCTTCTCTCCTCCCAATGTAATTCGTCTCTCCCCAGCACAATAAATTATTAGGCCAGTTAGCCTGGTGCTACAGTACTGCTTACTGCTAGGAGCTACATTACCGTCTCTTTCCCTTCAGAAACAAGCAGCTCCCACCAATCTGAGGCTGTGCAAAGAGCAGATAGCTGTTCTAATTGTACTCCAATTAGGTGAGTTAGGCCTTAAGTAACCACCTATATCGCCCTTATGATACTTACATACTTGCATACATACATATTTGGCTGTTGAGTATCTTCCCTCTATATAATTTGTGAGTAAACGTCCAAAAATGTCAAATGGACAAAGAGGAAAACTTTAATTTTTAGGGGTGTGAGTGGGTGTTGTGAGAAATCTTAGGTGACTTACTAATAACAATTTAACAGCTAAAATGTAATTTAGAACAAGAACAATTTATGTTATGTACACAGACTGATTTCTAAACACATTTATTTTGTTTGTAGACACCTCACTGTGAGCTTTATTACTGTGAAGCTTTGTTATACACTCAGACACACCAGCAATATGGAGTTTCTAGAAAGTAGGGAATTTGGACACACATCATTACGGCCACTCCTTATTAAGGAAACTTGGCAATGAGAGGTGTCTGGTGAGGAGAGAGAAGGAGTGGATAATAGGCAGGTATAAACTTTAGGTTATAAACTATTAAGGGACAGTTTAACCCCAATTTCCAGAGCCCATCATCTCTGTCAGTCCACTTCTATTTGAATCTGATGCTTCAATCAGGATGCCTCAGACTGTGTGCCACTAATAGGCTGAAAGTCGTCCGACGATCCCACCTTATCAGCAGCTTCCCATTAAAAAAAAAGGAATAAAAAAGATACTGATGCTTTTGAATGGGGAGCTACTGACACTCTCAGTCTATCAACTGCATACAGTGCAAGGATCAGACTCAAACAAAAGTGGAGGGACAGAGCTGACGGGTGCTGTACTGAAGACTTACTTCTGATGAAGTTGTTTTGGTGTCTGGAGTGTTCTTTTAAATAAAACCCTCCCAATCTCATTGTCACGTGCGTGGACTATAGACCCAGCTGAGACAGTGGGGAGAGTGTGGAAGTGACAGGGTTAATGACACCAGACCCCTGGTTACCTGTTGCTAGTCCCAGCAACCACTCAATTAACCCCTGCAATCCCTTCTACACTAACTCCCTTAGTACACTTGACTGCCACCACCAAGACTTTTAAACCCGGGCGTCTTAGGTTACCCCACACACAGGAGAATTATAGTATCACCGTTCTACTTTTACTGATAAAACATATATAGTTAACCCTTTTTGGTAACGTGTTTACCTGAGCTTTCCTCTGGAGAGTGAAGCTCATAGAGAACAGAGACACAAGCTGATTAAGTAAACATTTAATCTGACAAAAAGGATTCACAGTGCTGAGTACAAAATACAGAAATAAATGACATACAGATAACAAATTGCAAAACAGTACATAAAATAAAATAGGAGAAAACACAAGAAATTCCTTACATATATTTACCCCATATAGAATTCTTGTGGGAGTCTTAGATGGTATAGGTCTCCTAGAAGTTACTGACAAAAGAAAAATGAATAACTGACTACCCTGGATAGTCCAACACCCTCATATATCTAAACTAGTTGTTTCTCAGTGGGCAGACCCCTGGGGGGGATCAGAGGGGGCTGGTCTGGCAGTCTATTGCCCACTCTATGAAATTCCTTGTGTCCAGCTCTGGTGATGGCTATCTAGATGTTTTATGGTCTAGGCCTGGTGCAAGATCAAAGACCACAATAAATGTCATCCCAAGGTTTACAAAAAAACAACTCTTAACATATATAAACACACATCAAACACCAACTCATGCTTTTGGCATGACACCTCCCCCTTAAGATGGTGGACAGAAAAATTAAGCCACAGGCTGATTTATCTGTCTACCATTAACCCTCTAGTTGCCGAGACAGGCCATCTGCATTCCCATGCAAGCTGCCCTTTTTTTTGCTGGGCAGTGAAATTATACTGTTGGAGGATAGGGCACCAATGGAGCAGTTTATCATTGTTACCTGTCACCTGCAGCAGGTTGTGATCAGTCCATACCACAGCTACACCCTCAACAAACATGCATGATTTGCCTGTTTCAATTTCCCATCGATCTCTGGTAACATCCCTTAAACCACACCCACTGCGCTCATGTAGTAGCTGTAAGGGGAAGAAACCAATGGATTTCTGCAGCACTCCCCGGTAAGCACACAAAAAAGCAGACAGAGAACACCCCCAGGATAGATGCGCTGTATCAACACCCATCATCTCTTTCATTTTGCGGTCTGTCTGCTGGGCTTGTTGCACTATCAGACTCTGAACCTTTGGTTCACAATCAGAAAGTTGCCTAGGTGTATGCGTGAGTTGTGATAAACTGACAAGGTTCCTGGTTCCTCCAACAGTATGTTTCCCTGCAGCCATCCTTCCTGGACCCAGGGCCGGACTGGCCTACCGGGATACCGGGAAATTTCCCGGTAGGCCGCCAGCCCTGGGGCCGCTTTGAGATGTGGCTGCACTCAGCCACAAGACAGGAAAAAAAATGTTTTTTCCTGTTAGTCTATGCGGCCGCGTGATCCGCGCCGGCCGCTGCTGCTTGCTGAGCGAGCGCACATATACTTCCTGTCAGCCGCCGGATGTGAGCGGCATATGATGACATGACGTCACATCCGGCGGCTGCGCGGCTGCATCTCTTCCCTCCTGCACCCTTGAACTGTTGTAAAGGTAAGAATAAAGGGGCTTGGGGGACCTATTGTATTGTGTATTGCATTTGGGGGGAGGGGGTCAGTCAGTAGTGTATTAGGGGAGG